ACAAATGTATAATTCAATTTTATAACTGAAACTCACTAACAAAACCCGGCTCTTCCGAAAGAAAAGGTTCAATTCATTTCTCTGTTACACTGTTTTAACTCCACCAGTCACATCACTGTGTACAACCCAGACTGGTAAATCTGATGTTACCTCCTTAATTTAGGCTGTTTTAACAAAACTAATTGGCAAACTTTAAAAATTCTGGTTATGTCTGTGGTGCATTGATAATGTGGGTTGTTTTAATAAGGATGAAAAAGAGTGGGGAGAGAAAAATATTCTTATATCTGCAAGTCTGCTCTGCAATAGTTATCTGTGTGGTTTATGCTGTAACCCATACAGAGGCATATTTGTTTTGCTACATATGTAAGCTTTTATAGGGTGTTTTGGGATCCATTGGTATGGAAAAAATATTACTACCTGCATGGCTTTTTTCCAAAACTTACAGGAGAAAGACATTTCTTGTAGAGAGCGAATGTGAATTTCCACATACCGCCATCAAAATCCTGACTTTGTTTATACAGAGCTCCAAGGATTTTCTCACTGCTTCCTCCCTGTAGGTATTATAGCAGCATGTTATCTCAGGCCTGCCACGCACAACTTTCATACCCAAATCAGTCTTCCCTCATTCTGTGTCAAATGACACAAAGCATATAGTACTAAAAACAAGTTCCCTCTTCTTTTCACCCTGTAAATATTACAGGCCCACTAGGAACAGCAATGGGAGCATAATAAACCAGGAATGCAAACACACATTTTACAGAAGAAAGTTTTATATGTAGAAAATGCAATCCAAATAACCTGTTATAAAAAGACACTTTGTGAGTCAACCCAGTAAAGACAAGAAAAACTCTCTGGTGGAAGGAAAGACTAGCACTTGCATTCATATTTTTTCTTTTTGCTAGTAGTGTCAGGAAGAAAAAGTATCATTTTAACACTGTTTTTAAGATGAATATTATTCTAATTTTCTTAAATATTACCTCTAGCAGATTGAGAGTTGTAACACCCTCACCATCTGCTCTATATTCAATACTTGGATGGCTTGATGCCAAACCCTCAAAGAGTTTGTATGTCAGTCTATAAGATATGCTTTATAATTTTCAATTTCAGAACCTCCCTTAAAGCTTTTTGGGATCATATGTCAAGTTCCAGTGCATTTGCTCAGGCTTGTCAGCATCATATTAAATATGTGTTAGACCCAATCTTTTCATTTGATTCTATCTCTCCTTCAAACATTTTTCTTTCTTCTATTTTGTCAAGGATACAGATGGTTCCAATTATTATCTCCTTTAGTTTATCTTAATAAAGCCAGCATACTGCTGTTGAGGAGTTTGCTAAAAAAGCTATTCTATCACTGTGAGGCCCTTGTCCATCTCTTAGCACTCTTGAAGCTTCAAACTATGCCATTGCTGTATTGGATGATAACCATCCTTCCATTTTCCCCTGCATTTGTTAATCAAGGCACAAACTCCAGAAGGCAGAACATAACTCTATTCCTCTGCTTGTATCAGGAGACCAGTTTTAATTCTAAAAAGGATAACTCTAAGTTAAACATGGAAAAAAGACAAACCAAAACAAAATAAAACCAAAACCCTACAGTAGAACTAGCATGTTTTATAAAAGAAAAATTATTTTTGCTAGCATTATCTTGGTAAAAGGAGATGTTTTGTACTATTCGGGTGGAAGAAACAACTGCCATTCTGTAACATGGGTAACCCTTAAAACCTTTGAAAGCAAAATTTTCATTGAGTAATGTAGTATTTGAGTTTGGGTTTTGGTTGCCTTTTCTTTTTTCTCTTCCTGTACAACTCAGTGCAACCCATCTAATCCAGTGGATGTCAGAGAAGACACTCTCACAGATTACAATGAAAAATGTTTTATCCCTCTAGGCACTCCTAATAGTTTTTGCTCAGCATGCACGTAAGCAAGTTCTGGCTGACAATTCAGTTATTGTCCGAGTGAAAAGTGAGTGAAGGATTCTGTCACGTTCAGTTTGTTTTACTCTTTTAATTTATTTTTTTAAAACTCCGGAGAATCATGAACAGGACATCAAAAGCTAATTATAAAAACCTCAAGGCTCCAAGATCTGTGTCAGCTAGAACAGTTTTCATTTCTACCATCAGGCTTTCCATTTGTACTTTCAGCTGTGTTTTTTCTAGACTGGATAAGGCATTATCCCCATTTTGCACAGAGGTGGAGTGCTGTGAGGAGATTTGCCCAAGTCCTCGCAGAAAACTATCTTCAGGACTGAGAACACAGGTGGCAAAGCTCAACTTTTCTCCAAGAAACATTTCTCTGCTGTTAATAAAGTTTTGACAATTGGCATCATTCACCAGTCTTGATTTCATTTCCTGCTGGAAAAACACAAGCAAACCATGCTACTAGCAAAAGTTCTTGGAAAATTAATAAACCCATAAATTAAACAAACTCCTGAAAAACAAACTGATAGAAAACTAGGAAGATTAACGAAGCATGAATTTGCAGGAGGGGAAAAAAAAAAATTCTGAGAACAGTAGGTACTTCTTGGTTTTGCGGCAAATTGTTTATAACCAGAAGCGGATCTCATAGAATATTATTATTGGATGCTGCCCTCACACAGGATGGCCTGCTTTGGCAGGCAGGTCTATGCAGCTGCCAGAAAGTGTCAGTGCAGCGTGGATGGCAGAAAACATGAGCGTGGGAAGAGTGTGGAGCTGCTCAAGTACTCCCAGAGACACGTGCCACCTACGCTGGAGTGGTCATACCAGTCCTTTGTGTAGCACCTGGATCCAAGCAAGCTTGGGAATGCTGTTGCATGCTGGGGTCACCTGGATGGCAAAGGTCAAAAGAGTCACAGAAGACAGGAAGATGGTTTGGAGCACTTGAGCAGCAGGATAATCTGGTCTGTCTGGGAAGCCACCCTGAAGCAGTTTGTAAAAGCATAAGGTACACTTCGCTTGGGATAACATTTGGAGTGTAGGTGGCATTCCCCACTGAATTTTTTCACAGGTGATGCTGCATTAAGCTGTTTGTTTTAAAGAGCATAGTTAGACAAAAAAAAAATAAAATGAAATAGTTTTACATGTAGGTGAATACTTACACTGCTGGCACCAAAGAGAATCAACTTTCATTTCTGTAAGCGTAGGGTCTGGCACCTAGGAATCCTGCACATAAATGGAACATAAAATGCATGGCCTGTCAAGTCCCAAGCTGTTTCTTGACATGATACTTAATCTTCATGAAAAAAAGAGCATTTTTAAAAGGTGCATTCAGACACAAAAATTTAAATTATTATCCAAGTATACAAGGGACTGAATTTTTTAAAGGTCAGACCACTTACTTCAATATCATGTTTCTAATTCTAGTGCCTTAAATCTTATACATTTTTGCAATATTGTATGATTTCCCTCTGCACTAACACTGCTGAAATTTTAAAAAGATATACCCTTTCATCTTCAACTAAACCTCACAAACTGATGCATAAACATTAAACAAATGCACACTGCACAAACACAATCAGGCAGGATACTCCCAAAATAAAACTGATACTTCCTGATCATAAAATAACACAGAAGTCAAAGGAAAAATATAAAACATGGACTAGATAGTGATAATGACAACATTCCTCACTCTCATACTGATTACCATTTTGATCTCATGAGAAGTCTCATGAATTCAAATAATTTTAATTAATTGTGGGGCAAAACACATTTGTGTGACTCACAGAGGCACTATTTTGCCCCGAGGATCTGAGGCAAAATGCACAGAAGTCAGTGGAAAGATCACAGTTGGCTTTAATGAGCTTTGGCCCAGGTCCATGGTGCGAGGCACACTCACCCACATCAGCCAGCTCCAGTCAGCTTTGCAAAGACTCTTTGTCTTTGGAGGAGCAGCAGACCTAGGTCTAAAAAATACTTTTGACTAATATAAAATATGAAGAACTTGCTGAAACCCAAGCCAAGAAGATACATGCTCCCTCCACACTTGAAGAGGTTTTAATTCTTCATCTACCCAGTGTCTGAGGAGACCTGCAAGGTTTCCAAGTGATAACAGCCATCAGTAGCACAGTAAACATGTTTTACTCCAGCAGTGCTGGGTGACGCATGAACCTTCCCTTTTAACAGGTGTCCCTTGAAAACCAAGGAGTTCCTTTGATGTTTGTTGACGGTCAGTCCAGCTTCCAAATGAAAATATGGTTGTTAGGATTAACAAGTTTACTCTGCCATAAATCTCCAGGTTATAGGTGAGAGAATGAAATGGCAAACAAATACTGAAAAGGTCAAAAGCCCAAACATATATGTATATATATATCATTTACCTCTGGATTCACATGGTCAGCATTTCAGAGTAACAGTGTTACTGCTGTTAATATTTAGCACAAAAATGGTGTTTTGGTTTTCCTATGTTGTAGCAATAATTCTGTGAGAAGTCATCTATGGAATTGGCACTACAGGTATTCTTGGTTTCTTTCATTTTCTTACCTTTTAAAAAACACAATTACTTTTCAGAAGCATGATTATGTATTGTTCTGAGTCTGGGGATTTTTTTTCCTGGGGAACAGGAACACCTACAAAGTACTCAATTAGACAAATCAGATGGTAGCATATGACAAAAATACAAAACCACAGTGGGCAGTCACTCAAGAAAATGTACACAATAGATATCCTTGAAAGGAAAGAGATATTAGTATCAGCTCTAGTCCAATTCAAATCTTTGTAAGCAGGCAATTAAAAGCTGGCTCAGCTTTTAATTGCCTGCTTAATTTTCATGTATAGTAACACATGAATTACAAGGAAATTCATGTGTTACTATATCCCATTACAAATTTTATTTGGGAGAGGGATCACATCTCAGAAAGGTACTCTTGACAGAATTCTTCAGATTTTTCTTCTCATTTCCTTCTGCACAATGTTGTTCAAATCTTCATGTAACCAACCTTCATCCTGCTGTGTGAAGAAAAATAGTAGAGCAGAAAAGGGAAGCTTCTCTTTGTCATTCTGTCATGGCTCTGTCACAGACAAATCTACATTTTACAGCCTCATATTTAATAGTTAACACATGTATCTTGGTGTCTTCCCACACAACGGATTACAAAGCAACCCAAAAACCTGAGCTGAAAGAAAGTAATTAGTAATTTGCCTCATCTTGGCTGTCAGCCATCTATCCAGGTACTTAGTGTGACGTGTCTGAGCACCCCACAAAGATTAATGTAGCCTTTCAACACCTCTGTTCAGGAGTGGGCTCATTTTCTAAGTGCAGATGCAATCCAAGGAAAAGCAAATCGCTCACACTGAGTCAAGAAAAACTTGTCAAAGGTGAAAATTGAGCACAGGTCTCCAAGCCCCTGACGTGGTGCCTTGATGGTCCCCTTTAGATGGACATTTCTCTCAAACACAACCCTTTTCTCATGTCAATGGGAAGGATCCTGCAAGATTCAACAAACAAACAGATTTTAAAATAAACAGCTGCAGTCCCTCACCAGTAAATTCTGAACTAGGATTAGTATTACCCCATACTAATGTATGGTTATAATATCTTTTATTTTTTTCAGTGCCAAGTGCTACCACCATCAATTATGTGGCTGGTTAATCACAGTTTGGGAATTTCTGTTTAGGAATGCCTTTCCCTTCCCCTATCCCCATCCCCTTCAAAAGTACAAGAAATCCGAAATGAAAGAAGGTCTTTCTTGGATTTCAAGCAGCATATCTTTGGAGGGAGCTTCCCTTGTGAAGCCCTACAACTAATCTAGGTTCGTTGTGTGACATAGTGAGAGACAGAGAAACTAACCCCAGCCCTAAAGCACATCTTCAAAATAATATGTGCAAATTGCCCTTGATAGTTTTTTGGTTGTTTGTGTTTTTTTTTTCCCTCTGGTCTCTTGACAAAGTTGAAAGCATGGTAAAATCTTACTTTTTTTCTTCTATCAGCTAAAACTGATACAGCCAGGACACATTACTGGAACTGATCTCCCATAAATCATGTCAGAAGGAATGGGTTCTTTTGTATCCTGTCAGGATAATACCACCATGTGTTCAAAGGTGACAGAAAAATTAGAGTTCATTAATAGTCACAATTTTTTTTAATGACCTTGGTTCTCCTTATCCAGCACCCAATTCTATAAATGCTTGTTGGTACATCTTATCAGGTAACCTTTCACTCTGTTAGCATTTTAGGTGCTAGAACTCTTTAGTTTTATAGAATGTGAATGACAAACTACCTAGCAGATTAGATGCACCTGTAACTATTTTAAATTAATTAATTAATTGTAGATCTTCATATTTTCCTGCATCAGTTTGAAAATAAGTACTCTATTTAATATGTCATTATCAGAATAGGCTATCTAGATCTTAACCCCCTCTTTTCTCAGGAGAAAAAACACCTGCCATTTTCTATTACTTTCCTAAAATTCAAATGACTTCAGGTTCTTTCATCTTAAAATTGACAGACCTGTCAATTTTAGAGTTGGTTTTGGCCTGGTGATGACAATTATGTTCACTGGGAACTACTGTAATTTTTAAGTATTATTTTTCTTTTTTTAACAACACCAGGTTGTTTTTATTAAATTCTAAAATTTCACAATACATAAAGAACAAGTTTTTACTTCTGTCTATAATTTCAAAGGAACAGAAAGGGAATATAATATGCCTTACTGCACTAATAATTGTACCTTTCAAGGTTTTCACAGATTCTCCTGCTGAAAATATGATGCCTTACTTTTTAAAATTTTGCACATATTTCAGCCCAGAAATAAAAAGAGAGAAAAGAGACACTAAAGAATCTTTTGCTGATGAAGACCATTTCAGGATACTTAAGCTGATAATTTCTGTTCCTCACAGCAGCTCTTTGTCACATTTTCCCTGTCCCTGGGCTTTGGTACACTGAGAAATGCAAGTATAACTAGGAATGCAACTGCATGAAAATGCACAAAATTTAGATGTTATAACTTAGCTACCATTTGGGCAACTAATTCAATGCTTGTATGAGGCCTGAGTTCATAAATAAATTTGCAAAGGGAACAGTTTTATTATTCCATCTCACCTTAAGCTCAAAACCTGCTACCATATGTCAGCAAGATGAAAACAAGACTTTAGGGGCTTTTTTAAAATACAAGATTGCAATGGGCCTGCTGGTGTCTCTCTTTCCCTCTCTGCAATTCCAGGCAAACAAATAAATAATCCCTTGCACAAACAGAAGTTTATGAAACCCAATGTTAATTAAAATAGGACCTGTGCTTTATCAGATGAGTATTTTTGCTATTCCTGTTGGAAAGGTATTCCATTACATTCATCTTCTCATCACTACACATTGTCTTTTAGATTCTAATTATGGGCAAAGTGCATTGATTTGTTTCTGCTACATTTTATGCAAACACTGCAGCCTCTGGGTTAACAACTTTTCCTGGACAGACATCCCCAGCTACCAGCTCCAGCTCTAGTCCCACCAAATTGTGCCTTGGACTCTAAGTATCTGTGTTGTGGAAAGTTTTATTGAAACTGGAATAACATTTCAGAAAAAAAAAGCAAACAAACGACTTGTGGTTCTGATGAAGTGCCCCTTTCCAACACACATATAAATTTCAACAAATTTCAACAAATAATTCCTGACCACATTTATTACATAACTGAATTTTTAAAGGTACCTCAGAGAATAAGTGAAATAGAGTCCAGTTATGTTTTCTGAGAGATGTCCTAGCTTCCTGATTTTACTGTGGTTATATTCCTAAGTAGTATGCAGCATTCTATGGGCTATGGTTTGCTGAGCAACTGAAAGCATTTTTGATTACACTGTTATTTTTAGCCAGTCCATAAGGGACAGGGATACACTGGGACCTGACAATGCATGCATTAGGAAAATAAAGATTAGTTATGCAACAAAAATATAACTTTTTTTTTTTTTAATTAGGAAGAGCCAGAAAATGGTGAAGACCCCATTGACTTCACAAACGAGCTTTAACTACACACTGGGTTGGCTCCAGTGCTGTATTTTCCTCACATCACTTTGAATCATCGAGTAAAGAAATGAGAGTATCATGGCAATACTCCCACCTGGGAGACTGAATTGGCTACCCAGAGAGAAAAAAACCTGCTCCTTTTCCAGATCCGCTCGCAGCTCCTTTTCTCAAGCCCAAGAGTGGCGCGTGGGAAGAACTGTGACCCCGTGAGGTTAGGGCTGGGTCCCAAAAGCACAGTCCAGCCCCTAAAGGCCTGGTGAGTTACTAGAGAAGTGATGATTAATTTCTGTGGAAGTTTCTGTGTCTTCAAGGGCTGAGGATTATTTCCTCTTTGCTAAAGGTCAGCTCTTTCACAACCTGTTCGCGATGAGCTGCTGTGAGCAAGCGGAGCTCAAGTGCACCACGAGGGCAAGCAGCAGTAGATACTCACTGTGAACACTTCACCGAGACAGCAAGAAGCTTTCAACTAAACAGTTGCAAAGGTCTTACCCAGTAATTGCCCTTTAAACAAGGTTACACTGTGATCAGGGAACGTCAAAATTGGGAGGAAGTTTGTTTTTGCAAGCTGTTGAATGTGATAGGGTGTTTTTCTTTAAATCATAAATCTGCTGACTTTTGCGGAAGCTTTTGGAAACTATGAAACACGCAATTGTTTCAGTGAGGGGTTTGCTGAAAAATGTCTGATTGTTATCTTTAAATTATTAGTTTAACTAAACAAGAGAAGCTGAATAGCTGTTGGATAGATATTTTGCAGGGAAATACCTGGCTGTGTCTGCATCATCCATCTACAGTTCCCAGCTCTCCTCAAAGCACAACAAACAAAAGCTGCTCTGGGCATCATTGGTTAATAGTAAGGGATTGAAATGCAGTAGAAAACATACTACAAGGAATCTCTGCAAGTACAGAGTTAAAATGAACCCCTTGCCTGGTCCAAAACCCATGTAGTGAATGATAGCTTTGGCTTATCACTAGACAAGCAATTTAGTGCTTCTCTCTCGCTCCCAGCATCCCTTAAATGGTGACTGCAAGACCACAAGTGTCTCGAGGTTTTCATTGTTTAATGCCAGTCTTATACAAAGGAAAAGTGAATTCAGATTGGAGGAGAAAGGGACAGAGGATTCAAAGGGCATGTATGACTTTTTTCCCCCTGCATATCACAGGATTTCTCTTCAGTGTTGCTGCTGGGATCAATTTTTTTTTCCTCAGGGATAAAACTCACATCATCAGAGTCAGTGGATGAAAACAATACAGCCTCTCAAATCTACATAAGTTCAAAGGGTTAAATTTTATCTTCACTTTCAATTATTCCTATTGTCAATTAAGCCAAAGAAATAACAATCACCCACCTACCCTTATCTGACATTAGCATGTACCCAGCCTAACGTGCTTTATAAGCATGAGCTTTTGGCTCACAGCTGCTGTGGAAAAGGCAAGCTGTATTTATGCTCCTTTTACTGACAGAGAAGCTAAAGCAAAAGGGAAATTGTGCACCTGCTGATAATCCCCCCAAACTCCAAAGAAACCTTATCAGAGATCTCAGAAGGGAAGGACAGCTGGAAAGGGGAAAGACAGTAAAGGTAAGAGAGTGGGTTTTAATACACCTCCCTGAAAGTGTGCAAAGGACTCTGAGACAAGCAGAGAGAAAGATATGTCATACAGGATTATTTCTGGGCTTTTTTCAGAGAGCAGTCAGGTTGGGAAATCAAACTTTGTTCTTTTCAGAAAAAAAAAAAAACGGGCTGCATTCTGATTAAAGAAAATGAGTGGAAATTTGAATTTCGCTTCAGTGTTTCCCCTTTTCTATGCAGATGATGAGAAATTCATCATAACAGATGAGAGAACTCATTAGGCTGAGCGTGCCCATGGCAGCTTCTATAGGAAACAGCAGGCAAGGGAGCTCATAATTGTTATCATGTCTGATCAATGTGAAGCCTCCAGTCCAACTGCAGCAGGGTCATGTGAGGAGGCTGGTGGTATCAGCCCAGGACAAGAACTGAATGGATGCTTCAGGATCTGCAGTGGAAGGCTTTTGCCTGTTTGGTCATCACACCTACAGCATTCAGCTACTCCTAAATAGAGGTGGAAAAGATCATTCTCAAGACTAATAATCTGCTGTTCCTCAGACAACTCTTCCTGTCCGTTATAAACTGAAATAAAAACATTCTCTAGTATCTTCTAATACTACTCCCAAATGGCTTTTTTATGAGCTTTGGTATAAACTCTATTATTTTCAGTGTAGGCCAGCAATAAATTCAAATTAAATGCATATTCAACGAATAATTTTATGATGTGACCAAAACAATATATTGGAATTAGTTAAACTAGTTCCTGTGAAGTGACCTAAAACTTGGTCCAGGATTTGTAATTTCTATAAATTGGCAGTGGTAAGAGTCAGATGAAAAATATGAAACAATTGAATGCTTTTGTTAAAAACATTTAACACTATATTTTTCATTTCTATTAAACAATCATGGCTATAAATTTTCTGCGGGAGGCACTATTTCCCACACAGTCCAGAAATTACCTCTGGGACTTCATTTTACTCCAGACAAAGCATGAATTCTTTTGCAGTGTATGTGAATATCTGTGTGTGAGTGCTGTTTATAATGTAAGAGATTATTTAGCCTCCTGCAGTTTACAAATAATAGAAGGAAGTTCTCTTTGCTTCTCCACGATGGCAATGGCAGCTTTCTGAATTAGACAAGTAAACCTATCTACAATTTGAAATATGGGCCAGTATTTCATTAACTACTTTTGTCAGAGCAAGACTAGTAATATTTGGGGGGGGGGGGGGGAAAGGTGATATGTTATGTAAATGTCTTAATAATGAAATAAAATTAGCCTAAATGGTAAATAGATTATGTCTATTGCTTGATAATGGACATATGTCTATGCTATTGAAAATGGCTTTATTCATTGTGGTGGCTGTAAGTGAATTTCAGTATTGGTGCTACAGTTGTAAAATGTAAGCCATCATAAGGAAATAAACAACAAATTGCTTCGTTTTTACTGCCTCTTGTTCACTGCCACTTCTGGCAAAACTCCTTGTTAAAAGATGGTATTAGTGTGCTAGACCCAGGGAGTGGGTCACAGGGTTCAGCTTCTGGCTCTGTGACAAGGTTAATCGGTGACTTCAGTGTGTTTATCAAAACTCCATTAGTAAAATGGTGACATTAACATTTCTACCCTTGTTTCCCTTTTTTGTTTAGATTGCCAGCTCTTCCCGGCACAGTGTCCCAGAGAAATGACCTCTGTTAACATACCTAGAATTTCTTTGAAAAGCTGAGAGAAGTGGGAAAGAACAGACTACAGAGTTAGGACAAAACTCCTTGTAAATAACAGACTGGTTTTGCTAACTTTACTTGCTCACCAATCAGAAGACAGAAAAATCATGCAAAATCTTGTGCAAATGCTGCTACTGATAAAACAACAATGATAGTTTTTAAAAAGGATCAGTTTCCCAGGAAGAAATTACTGCAATTCACATACCAATTCTAATAACTTTTCAACAGCAAAAATGTTCAAATGAAACAGAGTTTCTGATAATTTTTCTAAAGAAAGTATGTAGTTTAGACTTTGTAATTTTGATCCCTTTTGTGCCACTAGTCCTTTAAACAATATTATATTACATATAATACACACAATACATTTAAACAACGAATCACAATGACCTGTGAAAATTTGCAGACTTTTTGTCATTTGGGGAATTTCCAAAATTTTGCATTTCCCACCAGAAATTGTGTTTAATGACCAAGATTTTAGCCTAAATTTTTGGTCCAAGGGGACCAAACAATGGGAAATCTCCAGAAAGTGATAATGGGTAGACTGAAAAGTGAGAGAAGATTAACGAAACAATCCACAAGGAGATCACAAACAAAAACTGTAGTATAAATATATCGAGGCACATGCAAACTGCCTGGATTACTGTCACTAATTCTTTCTGTTAAAGGTTTGGTGTGGAAATTTTAGAATATTGCAAGAATATCCCTCAGTGGGAAGGTTCTTGGTAAAGAGCACAGACACAGCGTGGAGGGAAGACAACAGTTTGTTGGCAAACCCTGCTAAGGGTACATTAACATCACCATTTTTTCACATTGGTGTGACCACTGTGTTATCACCTACCCACGTCAGATAAAAACTTTCCCAGGACATTGCTGCAACATGGAATTACAGAAAGGATGAAGGCACAGTCATAAATCCAGGCAGTGAACAACGCCATGCTCCTTTCCTGGCAGCTGTCAGAACCAACTGTTGAAGCAGATGAAATGTAAACTGCAGCTCTGTCGCACATACTTTTGAGATGTGATGTCCTGGTCAAAAAAGGATACAAATTTGTTTATCTTAAAAAAAAAAAAAAAAAAAAAAGAGACAAGAACACTGACCTTGAAGATCAGATCAAGTATAAAGTGGCCTAAAATAACAAACAAAATGAATGTCATATCTCCAAGATTTATTCCTCAAGTATATACAGGAAATTTATGAACAATTCTGGAGAGGCTGATCCTACAAAATGCTATTGAGAACTCAGATGCCAAGAAAATGCCTGTGGAATTTTGGATGCTCAGCATCTTCCAGGTTTGTTCTGATGGGAAAAAAACCCAAATCAGAATGCTCCATTAGATTAAAATCAAAGGGCTTAATACTGATGGCAGTATGCTGCTCTAACTTAATTTTAATGGACTTATTTTTGGAGCAAGAAATACTTACCCTCAATTGAGGAGGGCAAGGTTAGGAAACACTTAAACAAACTGGGCACACACAAGTCCATGGGAGCTGATGGGATGAAGCCATGAGAGCTGAGGAAGCTGGCTGATGTTGTTGCTTATCTTTGAAAGGTTATGGCAATTTGAAGAGGTTTCTGAGGAATGGAAGAAATCAAATATCATCTCTATCTTCAAAAAGAGCAAGAAGGTGGATCCAAGGAACTACAAGCTGGTCAGCCTCACCTCCATCCCTCTGAAGCTGGTGAAGCAAATAATCCTGGAAACCTTTTTTGGACACATGAAGAATATTAAGGTTATCCGGAGCAGTCAGAAGCAGGTAAGAGTAAATCATGCCTGACCAGTCTGATAGCTTGACGATCTTGGTGAGTGACAGGAGAGCCATGGATGATGTTTACTTGACTTTAGCAAGGCTTTTGACACTCTCTCACATAACATATCCATAGATAAATAGTTTAAGTACAGGTTAGATAAGTGCAGGGAGGTGGATTGAAAACTGGCTAAATGACTGAGCCCAGAGAAGCATAATTAGTCACAGAAAATCCAGATGGAAGCCAGTCACTGGTGGTGTGTCTCAGGGTTGATACCATGTCCTTGCCATGTAACCTCTTCTTTATTGTCCTGGAAAATTGGACAGAGTACATCTGCAGTGAGTTTTCAAATTATATGAAAATTAGAGGAGTAAATTGTGATCAAGATGGTTATACTGGTGTTTGGAGGGAGATGGATAGGTTGGAGAAAAAGGCCTACAGAAATCTCGTTAAATTGAACATAGGGAAGTGCCAAGTCTGGGGAGGAATAACGCCAGGCATCAGCACATGGGATGAATATTAAGCCAGAATGCTTCTCTGTAGGGCCCAGTGACAGGACAAGAGGCAATGGGCACAAACCCAAACACATGAAATTCCATCTTAATACAAAACAACACTTATTTACTGAGAGGGTGATCAAACACCGTAAAGTTGGCCAGAGAGGCTGTGGAGTCTCCATCCTTGGAGATATTGAAAATCTGAGTGGGCATTGTCCTGGGAAATCTGCTCCAGGTGACCCTATTTGGGGTCATGCAAAGCTTGGGCTTTGGGTGAGATGATCTGAAGAGGCCTTTTCTAACTTTACTGAGTATGTGGCTCTACAATCAGAGATCACTTTGAATGTAAAATCCAGCCTCACACAAACAATCACCAACAGAACCCCCAGATGATAGGGGAGAGTAATAAAACCCATGACAATACTTTCTGTTTCTAAATTGTCTGCTAGACCCACATAAGCAATGTCTGACTATTTTCTGAAATATTTGCCAGTTAGTTCTAGTTTTTTGGGGGGGTTGTTTATGTTTTTTGTTTGTTTTGGTTTTTTGGTTTCGTTGTTGTTTTGTTTTTTTTTTTTTAATTCTAGCCAGCTTAGTGATCCTCCCACATCCAGCTTCTAAGTAAAATTGTACATCTGCATTTCATTAGTGTGAATTTTAATCTCGAGCTTAAATACTAATGGAAAACAAATTTTAAATCTTGCTTTCACAAGCAGTTTCTCTAGAAACATAGGACCGGAATTAAGTTTGCATAGTCAAGGATATAAAAGTCTTACAGATTGTGATCAGTGGTAATCCATAAACACAGCTTGAATTCCAGAGCTTTAAGATTAAAGCAGCTGACATGGAGAAAATAGAACTCATCCAAAGTAGATATGGCTTTCTATGCCTTTAGGGAAAAATTCCATAGAGCTGCTTTTGTATATTACTTACACCTTATAAAGCTGCAAATGCATTAACTAATAGTAATTGATTAGTAACTAATATTACTTTATTCTGTTGCCACACTAGGCACAAAGGAAATATTCTCATGCATACTATTTTATATTTTTCATACCTACAAAAGTGAAGTGACTCACCCTGGTTATGCACAAAACAATGGTAAATCTACACTAGGAACAGCTACTATCTAACATATTAAGTCACATCTCTTTCTTTTGAGCTTCGTTAATAAATCAGTGTTATGAACACTGGATAATAAAGACCGGATTGCAATATTTGTACCTGTGGTGTTCTCAATTTCTTAACTATAATCAAAGTTCAAAGACCTTTCCAAACATCTACATTCACTACAAGGTGTACCTAGAGTTAGGCAAAATTTATCCCCCTAAAGAGAAAATTCCTATTTTCAAGATTTATGAGGCACTTACAGTGATAAGGTTTGTGCTAAGCCACTGCACAGGAGTGTATTTGACCCTTGGTCAACTTGAGGGCGTGTGTTATATTTCAGAAGTCTCAGGTCAGTGGTGGATTCCATTAAAGGCCTTATCTCCTTTGAAATCAATGGCAACATAAAAAGAGATATGTGTATTTTTGAAGCAAGATGTATTACTTAGAGAAAAATCACATCTGATCCTGTTGCAGAAAAAATGGAAGAGAAGATAAATAATGCCCCTTTTTCCATTGGAGATTCCTCGGTATTAATATGAATGGTGTGAAAAAGAGAAAGGTGTATGAAAAGAAGCAGTGCATGGCAAGTTTTTGAAACTTTTAGATCAAGAAGTGCAAGCTCTGTATCAGTAATTGAACAGCCTCTGTTTTGAGGGATACCAAAACTTGCTGTATGTTGCATATCTGCTTCACATTTCACATACTGTAATTCTATGCTATAAGAATCCAGGACACAGGGAAAAAAAGAGTCACAACAAGAGGAGGGAAGAGTATTCAAGAATTTCATTAGTGTTACGTTGGTTTGATTTACACAAGGAGATACAAAACGACATGTACTGCTCAGCAGTTCACAAAGGAAATAATGAGCACTAAACCCAAACTGTTGCTTTGTCAAGGATAGAAAAAAATGGCAGCAGGGCACAACAGTATGTAAAATGTTTGCAATGGAACTTGCAATTTTCCAAACATCTTATTTGTTTGCGCTTGGTAATTCAAAGTCCAAATAGAGACTCTGCTGGAAGATGTGCACCTTCCATCTTCATAGATTCTCCATGATGAGACAAAAAGCAACAAACTGTAAGAATCAATAGATTTCTGGGTAGAAAATGTGAACTTGCAGATTAAATCAGAATAATTAGCACAGAAATTCTTACTAAAACCAGTGTGGCAAATCGGGTTGTTTCTATACACTTGTCCATTCATTTCCTAATTGCATATAATCTACCTGGTGAAATAATACCCTAAAAAGATCAAGTTTGAAAATGTAGCCTCTAATTCACTTCCCACATTTTTCATTAAAAAAAAAAAAATGCAAGTGGGAAAGTGGGTATGATTTCTTGCTCTATTTTCTTTGGGTATTCAGGCTGACGTATCACACAGCACAAAGAGTCAGGAATTGCGTCTAGAGATTTATCTTTACACACAAAGAAATAGTTAACCAGTATTGTTTATCTTGTTGGAGAGAACAGTTAATTGTGCACTGAATTCTAAACCAAGACAAACCTCTATTGTGTTCAGCTATAACAAAGTGTATAAAAACCACACCACAAAGTTCAGGCAAAGACGTCAGCAGAACCGCAGAGGTGTTACGTGCAGCAGGTCTGAGAGTCAGGGAGGCTTGGGAGCAGAAAGCAGAACCTTATACCACAGGCATAAGCATGTACTGAAGGCATGCCCTTTCCCCAGAACTTATTATAGTCCAGCTTTTAGCAGACATAACAGTACAGCTGGTCAGAACTTGATATAAAGTTCCACAAAAACTGAAATATTGCTTAGAAATGTTATTAATATGTTTCCCACAGTCACGGCAACTTTCTGAAAGCATTTGTTGCTTCAAAAAGGAAAGAAATGATAGTTTGGGAACTATCCTATGCTGTTTTGCTGACAAATATCTAAAGTGACACTAAAAGAATCCTTATAGCAGCCACTTCATCTTCAAGAATTGCAAGCGTTAGAACTATATGGGTCAGATACAGTTTGTCAAACCATTAAAGTTTTTCAAACCTCAAGTTGCTTTATTATTTAAATCATGTTTGCTTAGTTTGTAATATACTTAGTCTTTTACTCTGAAAGATGTAAAAAGATTAGTATTTCACTGATAATGATGCTTAATAACATCTCCTAAAAGGATATAGCTAATATCCCAACTGCACAAATTTGTAAGTTTAAAAAACTTAAAGATAGGGTCTTATAACTGACAAAAAGTAAGGGATGACTCCTGAAGAAATAAAAATGGACCCCAAGAACCAGAACTCTCAGTTCTAACACATTTATATCCAGTGCTGGCAGTCTACAGACTATTTCTAAGGAATACAAAATAGCCAGAAATAATTAAAGTATGCTGCTAGTTGGTCTAAATTCTATAGGTTTCTACCTCCACCATCAACCTAAATTTTAAAAGTTGAGAGGTTGAAGAACATTGAAAAATAGTAGATCCTTTTTGACCTTCAAACTTATCATGTTGTTTTATTTTAAATCATTAATAAAATCACCTTCACAGAAAAGCTGAAGTCTCTCTATTGAATTGTTAGTTTAGCTTCCAATTTCTGAAAAAAAAAAAATCATAGGTTTATTTTTAGGAGTAGATGTGAAGCCACATATAAAATTGAGGTAAATAAAGATCTTTGAAGTACATAAAGGTAAATCCTTCCAAATGATTAAGCTTATTGACTAGGAGAGAGAGACTGTCAGAACGAATCCTGACCAGCTGGAGAAAAATATATTAACTATACTTGTGATTGGAGGGACGTGGATTGAAGGATGTTTATCTTCTCAGATGAGCAGAGACAAGATCAGCTGCTTACTGGGAAAGAGAGAGGGAAGGGTTGCCATGTATTAATGTCCGTGAACACAGATCTTGAAGACTTGTGCCTATTTAAGCTTTGAGATGGTTGCACAAGATGCACAAGTGCACTTATAAGCAGGGAATACTTCTACAATGTTAAGATAAGAAGCCTTAAAATTTGATCATTTACTCCTGCCTTAATATTCCATAATTTTATACAAACATAACACGCATCCCGTTTAGGGTCCCTTTGAACTGCCAAGATAGGACTGAGAGAACTAGAGCTAAAAATCAGGCTCCAAACGTTAGCTTGGATTCCAATAAACATTTGACTAGTTAAGGGCATATTAGCCTGTAATGAAAGGTGTGAATAGCTCATGAAAACTCTCCCAAACTGGGTTGAGACCAGCTACTTCCAGTATCGATAACAATGTAGTCCTGGGAGCAGAGAGCCAAGTTTCTTCAGCAGGTGATGTAGGCTGTGCAGAGATCTAGATTAACAGCCCCCTGGTTTACAGCCAGGTAAGTCAAATTGAGGTGCATTTACATCTGACTACAGAAGACACAAGGGTATAGAGGAGAAATATATAACCTGCACAATTCTGTATGCTCAAAGAAACCCAAAATCTCAAGGAAAGGTACAGTGTCGATGCTCTCACAGGGTAGAAACTTGTAAAAGAAAGCATACATATCAAGGATCAGAAAAAAACTCTGCCCATGTTAGCCTCAGTGATAAATCCTCAAAGTCCCACTGAAATCTAGGACAAATTATATTGTTAAATTGAAATTACTGTTGGACATGGTGGTCAATTATTCCCCAGATTCACGGTAGATTAGTTTTCCAATGAAAATGCTGTTTCTGAAAAAAGAGATGGTAGAAATGTGCATT